AGGCATCACTGATCTTGTCCACAGCTATATTTATGCTGAGGGTGTGAGGATCTGCTGTTTTCCTCACCTGTCGGTAGCATTTCGCTGCGACGCGCACAATGTTGGAGGCATCGCGTGGCTCAAACACCTTGATGTCCAAAAAAGATGACATGAACTTGTTGGTTCCCCTGTCCATTGTCGTGGCTGATATCTTTTTTGAAAATCCGGCAGAAATGCTACACTAATCGACTCAGAAATACTTTGCAGAGAGTCAGTCGGAATGAAAGACGCCATGTTTACACATAGAAACTAAGCTCCGCGAGGCTTTGTTTGTGAGACATGCAGCCACGTGGGACTGTCGAGGGGCGTTTCTGGGCGGGGCTTGGTAAGGTCCATGACTGAATATTAAGTTATATCTGATGTTTATTATCAGATACAGAAAAACAGCTGAAAATGAAGCTGGAGTCATTTTAAATTAATCAGTTATTCTAAATTAAGAAGAAAAATGCTAAATAAAAAATTGAGTCAAAGGAAAGACTTAAAAAGTTCAAAACTCAAATATATTACCGTAAAATTTAACTTCAGAAACATCAGAATCAATCCTCTGGAGGAAAATAGCTGAACATTTCTTTAATTACACCTTCTTAAGCTTTAGACACACACTCCAGGTAGGAAGCTGTGTGGACGAAATATCATTTATTTAATGTTTCATTACGTTCTCATAGGAGGAGAGAGGCTCATTTATTCTCATCAGGAGAGCAGCAGTGAAACAGGAAATCAGAAATTAACTATCAGTGAAACGATGTGGAGCTTTTACATGAAGTTTGCTCGTGTGTCAGGATGCAGTTCTCCCTGCCACCACTGGGGGGTGCTGCACGTCTGTCCATGGCTTACCTCCTCTACTCTCCTTCTGCTTCATCCCATTTCCTTCCCATCATTTGTTTCAGTCTGCTGGTTTGAAGAAAAGAGGAAAGAAATGATCACTCTTCTTTTCTGTCATCATTTCTCAAACTTCCTGTCTACACTTTTGTCATCTTTTTCTTTAAATCCACCTGATGCTCCACCTCCGTTTCCACTTTGTTTCAATATTAGCAGAAGGAAAACTTTCAGATTCCTCCATCAGCTCGCCATGTTCACCGAAAACCTCCTGCTTGTTCGAAGAGGCTAAAGGTTAAAGGTCAGCAGTGTCTGAAAGGGTCGATGCCCTGCCTGGTCTGGATGTTTACTGGTTTAACACAACCTGACCAAACAAATGGAAGATTACCGGGCAGAACATTATGACCAGCTGAGAAGTGAATTCAGTCACTTGAATCCGTTGTGTTGGAGAATGGAAACATTAGGGCTGTTTTCCTCCTGACAGGCTGGTAGATTTGGTTCGATTGGTGGAGAAAAGTAGCATCATCTGCTGCTCCTCCAGCTGCTGTGGTTCTGAGTCAAACCAGCCTGTTCCCCTCCTGGCCTGTGGGGGCGCTGCACCAAGAACCACTGAAGGAAACGGACACTGAGAGCAACTTCCTTCACCAAATGGAAACAAAATGGAGGCGTCAGATTTTAGGAGGATTTCTCTTTAGTCTTTGGCTAAAGACCATTAGCTATTTCTGATGCTAGCACTAGGCTAACACATATTTTTGGGTTGTATTTACCCAGAATGCCCTACACTTTAGTCCACTTCCTTCTTTTGGAGCTGAGCATTCAAACCACAAAGGAGTTCACTTAAACTGAACCCAGACTGAGGTTTGTAGCCGGACCGGAGTTAGCTTAGCATTCACAGCTCACCAGCCAAACTGGACTTTCTAAACTTTCTGTTGTTGGATTAAAGCTTCAAGTGAGATGAATCATGTCTGAAAAAACTTCCCGTTCCAGCTGAAAACTGGCTTCTTCCTCATTATATCTCTTTTCTTTATTTTATTTTATATTGATTCACTTGCTTCCTTCACCTCAACCTTTTTTTCTCCTACTTCCTCGACCTTCTTGAAGCCTCGTTTAAAAGAAAAATTCACTTTAAAACTAAGACAGTCATTTTTCTCCTTTTGGTCCTTCAGATTATTCTCCCTCATCTTCTTGGGCTATATTTTTTTGTTTTGTAATCTGTCATTTCACCTCATCTTCCTCGTCTCTTTGTCCCCAGATTAGAAATCGAACTTCCAGCAGATAGATGGATGAGTCTGAACAGATGGGTGGCCTACTTTCTGCCTCTCTCCTCCACCTATCGATCCATCCGCCCTCCTATCAATGATGTATCATGCATCCATCAGTCTTTGTAAAACACAGTGAGGAAGAGGAGGGACGACCTCTGCTGTAGGTTCTTCAGTTTGATGCAGACAGAAAGGAAGGAGTGAAAGAGTTTGGGTCTAATTTTGCAGCCAGAGATGTTATTTAAATTCCTGCTGAAGCATGAAGCGCCAGCTCCTCACTGCTTCATCAAGTTTCTAACAATTTAAAGAAAAGATCACAATTACAGAAACTGAAAATAACTCTCAAGTCTTTCTTACAGTTGGATTCAGTTTAGGGTGAAACTAAATGTTCTCCAGTTTGTAGACAAACATTGAGGTGCCATTAATCTCCAGGGGAATCTTTCTTCCAGTTCCTTTATTTTTTAACGTTTAAATGTCCTCTGATGATGTGCCATTAATTTTACATCATTTAATACTTTCTCTCTCTGCTCTGTATCAAACCCTCTGAGCAGCCTGTTCCCCTCCTGGCCTGTGGGGGCGCTGCACCAAGAACCACCGGAGGAAAGGACACAACAACCTCTGAAGACACTGAGAGCAACTTCCTTCTTCACCAGATGGAAACAAGATGGAGGCGTCAGATTTTAGCGGTTGGAGGATTTCTCTTTAGGCTAAAGACCAGGAGCCATTTCTGCTGCTAGCGCTAGGCTAGCACGTTAACGTTGGTTGTATTTACCCAGAATGCCCTGCACTGTAGTCCACTTCCTGAGGTCTCTGGTCCACTTGGTGTTCACATATTCGCCCAACCCGAACCAAAACACTTAAACTCAACTCAGCCTTTGTAGGCTCCAAAAACAGGAAATGGACTACAGCGCAGGGCATTCTGGGTAAATACAACCGAAATAAACCTGGGCTAACGGGAGAAATGGCTCCTGGTCTTTAGCCAAAGACTAAAGAGAAATCCTCCAACCGCTAAAATCTGACGCCTCCATCTTGTTTCCATCTGGTGAAGAAGGAAGTTGCTCTCAGTGTCTTCAGAGGTTTTTGTGTCGTTTGCTTCAGTGGTTGTTGGTGCAGCGCCCCCACAGGCCAGGAGGGGAACAGGCTGCTCAGAGGGTTTGGTTGGTTTGAGAAAGAGAACCACAGCAGCTGGAAATATAACAAATGTTTGAATTTTGGTCCCAAATCAAACCGAGTCTACTGGGCTGTCAGGAGGGAAAACAGCCTGAGTTGATTAATTAATATTTATTTGTTCTTTATCATCTTGTTATGTTGCACCTTTATCTGCTCCACGTTTATTTACTTCCAACAGAAGTTTTGCAGAAGTTTCAAAAACAATTATGTGCATCCTGCAGCTGGTTGAGCCGCTTTGTTACAGAAAACATTTTTATTTCCTCACCTCGTTTCCCTGGGAGACAGGAAGTGTGTGCGCCGCGCGTGTGTGTGTGTGTGTGTGTGTGTCAGCGGCAGGTAATCGGCTCAGCTCAGAGCTCTCAGACCTGTCCCGGGGGATTGTGGGTGTTTTTGTGCGTCAATTCACATCAGGTTCAACACACAGAGAGTTCAGCACAGCTACATTCAGGTCAACACACGCGCTGCGGTGTGTGTGTGTGTGTGTGTGTGTGTGTGTGTGTGTGTGTGTTGCTTCCCCGGGGTGTATTAATCATCCAGGTGTGGAGCGGCACTCGGCCGGAGCGCAGCAGAAACCCCTGACTGTGTCGGCCTCACGGAGTGACCGCCCACCGGACAACACTTCCTGGTTTTGCTCCTCCAGCTTCATGTTTAACCTCCAGCAGGAACTCTACCAGGGATTCAGACTGATGATGTTTTAATGAGTTTCAGAGATTAAAATCACTGATTTTTAACTGTCAGCTGCAGCAGAAAGGCTTCTATAAAATACTAATATTTTCCTTTGATTAAATCTCAGTTGAAAAAAGATAAAAACCTCAAACACCATGGACACTTTGCTCATTTCAGGGATAAAAATGAATTAATTTAGATTAAAAACATCTAAAATATATCACTCAGATCCATCACACTGCAAAAACAAAATCTCACTAATTTATAGTGAAAATATCTTGAAATGAGACAAAATTAACTTACAAATAACTTTTAGGAGCTTCTTTTAAGTCAATAATTTATGAGTATTTATAAAAGTTCTACTTCCACTGATATTAATTTTACTTGTAAAGTTTGAAAAATGCCTTGCTAGAAGTGAACTAATCTGCCAGTAAAGAGTCTTTTCATAATTATATTACTGAAAAATAGTCTCAAAACAACAATATTATCATTTATGGCAATAATTTATCATCCGGCACAATTTGTTGTCTGATTGTTCAACAAACAGATTTTAAAATTGGTTTTAATCCAGTTTTCACTGAGATTCATATCAGAACCAGCAAGGAAACGTTAAAATCCTGGGATCAAATTTACCGCTGAAAACTTTCACCATGTTTGCTCAGCAAGACAAAATGACGATATTTGAAGTTTATTTGCGGAAAAATGTCTAAGTTACGACAAAATTCAAGCAAAAACAAAAAAAAAAACTGGGATTGTTTTTTTATTCTGAGGAAACATAGTTTCCTCAGAATAACTGTCGGTTCTGGTTCAGATCCCAGAACTCGTTTAGTTTGGATTCCCTGTAGTTTGCTAACTGAGTCCAGTCGAGTTTTTAAACATCCTGACTGATTCTGTTCTGCCATAAAAGAAAAGTTTAAACCCCCGGAGTGCATTTAGACCGTCGCTGCGCCGCTTCATATCCTGTCTGAGACGCTGCAGCCTGGGAGCCACGAAGACGGATAATTACAGGAAGAGACGGCGGCAAAATCAAAGAGCAGCGGCGGCGACGTTCATCCATAAGTGATGGTTCAGATGATGTTTAAACACTTTGAGCAACGACATACGGCTCACATTTAATGTGAATTAGAGAAGCGTAAAGCCTTCTGTTTTTATCCAGCATTAAATATGAACAATCATCCTTCATCGTCTGCCTCAGAATGCTGGAAGGTGGCGATTCACTCTTCGTTATTAAGAACTTAAGATGAACAAGCCGCCAATTTCTGCTGCAATACTAAAAGAAAACCAGACGACTGATTTATTTATAAGTGCAGGTAAAAGTTGGAGGAAGTTTGAGTTCAGGAACCAGAGGAGGAGCAACAACATGAGGACCGTTTATGAAGTTACACAGGTAAAAAAAATAACAGCTATAATTTGAGTTAGCTAGCATGTAATGACAAACAAATGTGAAAAATAACATGTTTACACAATTCATTTTTAAATGTCATAAACATTTAATTAAAAAGATAAATATTTACTATTTAAATATTAAACTCCAAATTAAATATTTAGCTTTTTAGCAGCTAGCTCTGTTAACTTGTAGCTAAATATTTACTTAGAAAGATAAACATTTAGCTCAGAGTTAGCTAAATATTTAACTAGCTGATTTATTTGCCAGCTCAGCTCTAAATATTTAGTTAGCAAAACAGACATTTAGTTACGAAGACAGATATTTAACTCTGAGCTAGCTAAATATTTACCTAGCCTAAAGATAAGTAGTTAGCAAGGCAAATATTTAGTTGGAAGTTTAATACTTAGTGTAGCAGCTAAATATTAAGCTCCAAATTTAGCAAGATAAATATTTAGTTAACTATAAACATTTAACTCAGAGCTAGCTAAACATTTAGCTAGTTTTAGAGGTAAATATTTAGTTAGAAATATAAATATTTAGATCTGAGTTAGCTAAATATTTACCTAGCTCTAAGCTAAATATTTAGCTAATATGCAAATTCACCTGCCAATAAGAAGAAGCGGACTATCAAAATAAAAGCTGGGTCTTATGAGCCTTTATACAAACTCCTGTCATATCTACATTAACAGCCTTTAAAACGTCCTTTGGTTCAAGCTGAAATTTTGTTCAAGGAAAAAAACGGTGATTCCAACGATGAGCATTTTGAAACAATCCAGAATCACAAATCTGCCGCAAGCAACAAGGATAAGGAGGAACAGAATTAGGATTTGGTATAAATCAAAGCCTTCTATTAGTCAAACAGTAGCTTATGAAAGTGTGTGTGTGTGTGTATGCGTGTGTGTGTTTCCAGCTGTATAATGGATCCTCTGTCATGGCTGCCTCCAGGTCAGTTCCCTCCAACCTCCCATTCATCTTCTTTGCCTCCCTGCAGGAGGCGTATTGTTGACTTCATTCTGCAGAAACCGCAGCAGCAGCTTCACTTTAATCCAGCTCTGACTCATACAGACTGGATGATGACTTTTTTTCTATATTTTATTACCATCTCAGCTTGACTGTGTCCTGCTGAGAGCTGTGATGAACATGCTGAGGCAGTCACAAAGTGATGCAACACAGCCTGTTTGATTGCTAATGAGCCACACGCTGCTAAAAACTGCAGGGAACTGACCAATACGGCAAGTTTTTACAGTCAACAACCAGAGAAAATTCAGCTGGAGAAGCTCTAGCATCTAAATCTTTCTGACAAAATGTAAGTGGGACGTAAAATGAGAAGCTGAAGAAACAATAAGTAAATAAAATCCACAAGAATGTCAAATTAAATACATGTATTCACCATTACTGAGCCAGTTAGCTTCACATAACCAGAAAGCTAGCTTTGTTAGCTTGTAGGGTTGGGAAAACTTTAGCATCAACAGATATGGTTTTCGTTAACTGGCAGTTAGCTACATAGCTTCTTTACTTTGCTAACAGTTTATGTTAGCATAACTGGAGCAAACTGGTTTAGCAGGTTATTTTCAGGCTCCATTAGCGGATACTGGGATGAGATACTTCAGGGTGCTAGCATCATTCCATTATGTTGCATATGGAGCAACCTAGCTTACATACCTGTTAGCAATTGTATGGTGCTGACTTAGCAAACTTTGTTCAGTTTCCATTAGCTTGTATGCTACTACCAACTTCCATGTTTTGTTAGCTTGAAGTGCTAATAAACTTAGCAGATCCTATTAGCAGTAGTTATTAGATGCGGTTTTGCCTGGTACTTGTCTGTTAGCCTGTTTGTTGCTAACCTGTTAGCATATTTTGGTATGGCTGCCTCACGACCCTCAAAACACAGAAGCATATTATATTTAATGATTAATTTGTAGATTTTTTGTAATATGGGATGTTTTAGGCGACAGCTGATACGAAGCAGTAAAATAAATGAGGATTCGTGCGGAACAGTTAAAGCAGTGGTTCCCAAACTTTTTCTTCTGCGCCCCCCCGGTGGTTTCCAAACATTTTCTGCGCACCCCCCTAAGGATTACAAATGGCTGTCTGGTTGAAACGACGCGTGTGACGGGTGGGAAATAGCTGAAAATAGACACCAACATCGGTAGCCTACAAGGTACTTGTTAAGCTCAAGGTTCTGTATTGATATTAGCTAGTCATCTTTTAGCTAACATTAGCTAGTCATCTTTTAGCTAACATTACCTGCATCCAGCAGCTTTACTCAACTCAGTCGGTTAGTTTGGAGGAAAAAACTGTGAAAAGTTCTTTGCTTGCTGGTTTGCTGCCGTGATTCTAACACAAACCTACGTAGCTCCGCCCAGCAGCAGCAGGTCTTCACAGGTGGAAACCCAGCGCGAGCGTCGTAGCGCTCATGTTGCGTTTAAAGGTGGCTCGGAAAAACAGGTTACAACATGTTAACAACGGATTAAACAGTTTTAACTGATAAAAGTGACAGAGGACACAAATATGGGAAGTGTGGAAGCCTCTACTGTATCAAATTGACAGAGGAATAACAGAGAGTTGGTCATTCTAAGGTAAAAACCCAGCGCATACAGTATTCATGTTTTGTTTTATTTTTTTCATCCAGACGGCTTCCCGCGCCCCCCCTGCAATGACACGGCGCCCCCCCTAGGGGGCGCGCCCCACAGTTTGGGAACCTCTGTGTTAAAGTATGATCAAATTTTCAGTTTCTGTGATTTTCTGATTTATTTATCAAAGTTAAATATGTGTTTGCAGATTTGTATCAAATAAATGTGCATGTTTAAGTTCAGAGCTGCTTAGCTGGACATATAATTTAGATTCTGTGATGTTTATTATAAATTAGTTGTTTCAGATCTAAACTGGTTTCTTCAGTGGATTCCCCTGATACTCTGGATCTAAAAATGTTTATAAAATGAAAACCAGGATCCCAGTTATTTCTGCCTATTTCTTGTCCTTTATTCTCCCCTATTACCATAAATCCATACATTTGAGCTGGTTTTCATCAAAAGTGGCATTTTTTCTAAATTGACACTAAATGTGAAGAATTAAGAGTCTGGTAAATTTTATAGAAGTTTGTTTCCTCGTCTGGTGGTCAACCTTGGCAATCCTCCTGTGATTACCTCCGTTTCAGATTAATTAGATCTCATTCATCTTTTCCCTCCAGAAGTCAAGGACACACACACTTTATGTTCACAAACGAACACAGTGGGAGTTTCCCCACACATCTGTCCTTGTTATTACCAACTATTCCTCTGATTATGATTCATATCGCGTCATTTGGAGCAGCTTGATATAAAAAATTAGATTTTTCCATTCTGATAAGTTGAATTGCTCCACTTGAAACCAAATGTTTCCTCTTTGGTTTGGGATTAGCTGTAAGCTAACGTGGCAGATAGCAGGTTCTGACCAACGACGGCGGCTAAAACCCAGAGAGTTGTTCTGAGATCAAGCTGCAGATCTGCGTCTCGTAACGGCGGCTGAGCCATCCGTCAAACTGCAACCCGGCATCCATCATCGACAGGAGAGATACAAGAGGCAGAACAGACAGATCTGTCAGAGAAAAGGACGAGGAGGAGAAGATGATGGAAGACAGGAAACGAAGAGGAGACGCAATGAAAAAAAATTTGACCGGGAAGAAAAATGGCTCTTCAGTGGAGAAACTGGAGGGGAAATGAGAGGTAAACGAAGACAAGAAATGAGGTGCAGCAAAAATAAAATATTTTACACAAATATGATGTAAAAACGACACCAGGAGGAAAAGAAAAGAGATAAAAACGGTTAAAAACCTGGAGGTAAAAAACATCAGGATGGAAACCGATCAACATCAATCCATTACTAAATTAGTTCATTATTTCAATAATCGATTTATGAATCCAATTAGTCATTTCAGCTCTAAAATAAACATGAGAGATTTCTAATAAAGTCTTAGAGAATTACAGTGAAAGCTGCAATGATCCACTAACGAAAATAAACCTGAGAACGCAACCGATCCTGACCGGGACGAGTTAAAAAAGAAGAGAAAAAAGAGAAAGACAAAAGGGAGAGAAAGAGAAAAATGAAGGAAAAAAGGAGAAAAAGAAAAAGTAAAACCAAGAACAAATGAAAGAAGATAAAGAATGGAAAAATAAAAAAGGAAAAGGGAGAAAGATGCTGATGACTTAGTGACTTGTGTGAACCGACCAATCAGAGACCATCAGGAAGTGACAAAGTTCATCAGAAGTCGCTAAACGTCTGCGGCGTCTGCAGAGAAAACATCAGGAAATCACACCTTCCACATTTAACTGCAGGCAGGAATAAAAAAGGAAAAATGATTCGGGGACGAGTCTCTCTTTGTTCCCGTCTTCCTGCTGTCGCCATCAATTATTCACGCCACATCAACACCATCATTTTTACTTCTTCACGCCCCAAACAAACCGATACGATCGCTGCTCCGCCGCGGTCATTTGTGAGAAAAAACCCCAGAACATCACGCTCAGTCAGAGGTGCTCATTAGTTTCTGTAAAACGCTGCAAAACGAGCCTGAGAGGAGCTGCTGCTCATACAAATCACAGCGCCGCCATGAGCTGCCTCCAGAGAGCCGGGCTGACAGCACTGCTGGTAAACAGGATGGTTAATGTGCGAATATGAAGGCAGTCGATATTCTGATTGGAGGTGAGGAATTAAAATCAGCTAGAGGGAGACAGAGCGCCAACAAGACGTGGCATCGATTTTTCTGTTTGGCCAGAGGAAGCTGCTCACGCGGCGCGGCGTCTGCAGGTGGGATCATCTGAGGAGGTTCGAGAAGCCAGAACACAAAGCGACTCACCGTCAGCAGGGCGCCGACAACATGGCCGTCCTGGAGAACATGGCCGTCCTGGAGAACATGGCCGTCCTGGAGAACATGGCCGTCCTGGAGAACATGGCCGTCCGGGAGAACATGGCCGTCCTGGAGAACCTGCAGGCAGAAATGAAAACTATAATGTATGAAAACACAGATGGGTCTGATTATGTCGTTATTTTAAAGTTTCTGCAGACTTTACTAATGCAGACTGATCAAAAAGCTAAAGTCCGTCCGTCTAAATTGGTCCAGAACCATTTTCAGGAATTAAAACCGATGTGGTGAAACACGGTGGTGGCAGTGTGATGATCTGGTCCAGTCACCATCAGAAGAGGAAACCAGTTTCCATTGGCTAACAGACAAGCTGCTCCTTCCTGACTGGTTTTAATTCAACATTTCATGATTTTATTGGGGATTCTGGGAAAATTGAGGATGACTGGGAAGACTGGGAAGAATCCCAGTTGAGCTTCGACAGAGAATTAAATGTATTTTTTAAACAACTTTATATTCATAAGTTTGGTTCTTAAAGAAGTCTTCAGCTTTTGTCCAGAACACGGATTAATGAGTTTTCAGCTCTGCTTGGTCTAAATATCCATCTACACACATTTAAATTATGTTCATTCACATCCATATACCGGAAACTTAACCTTTAACCTAAACCAAATTTTAATCTGGTGTCTGCCTATTTACTGACTCTGCATGAGGCGAGCCTTACATCCACTGAAAGCGCCGCTCTGAATTATTCATGGCTCTCAGACTTATTCATACGGTGCTAAGAGTGGAAATACGCCGTCTCTTCCTCTTGGCATCAGGCTTTGCACCAACATAACTAGTAAAATAGTTTCTTACTCAGTTAAAAGTGCTGTTAACCAAACCTAGTCCATCATCATTAGCTCACAGAGAGAGAAAATCACTACCATGAGAAAGAGAGGAACATTAAATAAAACTTGATTAAATGCTTACAGTTTGTTGTCCTCTGCTGTGCTGCCTCTTCCTCAGCCGGACAGTTTGGTCAGATGCAGAAACAGGAACGTTCCTAACAGAAACTAAGGATGGCAGTCCAGCTCACACACATCGGCAGTGATGATGTAACTTATATTGGTGTTTAATGAACAAGAAATATTTTCCTGAACAGTCATGTCAGGAGACGGGCGTGAACACAAAACACCTTAAGCCTTTAAACTTTAGTCAGACAAGTTCTCAGAAGTCGTGTTTTTACAAACTGGCGCAAAAGAAACGTGTGAAACGGCTCAGCCGAGGTTTGAATGCATCATTTTGGAGAAACCGGTTTCTAAAGAAATTTAGAAACCGGTTTCTAAAGAAATTTAGAAACCGGTTTCTAAAGAAAACAAGTATAATCCAGTGGAGCAGAATTTGTTTCTGCTCCAGTTGTTTAGAAACTGGAGCAGAAACAAATTCCACGTTGCTCCAACAAAGACGAAAAGTTTTGAGTGGAAATCTACAATAACATAATTTATCACAAACAAAACAAAGGTGGAGGCGGCTGTAGAGCCTGAGGTCAAAGTTCAAAAGGGAAGACTGAAGCCGCGCTGCTCAGGGCTGGCCGGTCCTCCAGCCTCCTTTGTGCGTTTTAAATCTTAATAAAACACTGACTGGAGTTTTGGTTTCGCTTTGTCTGTAAAATTTGATCGTTTCCTAGATGTCTGCTTATCCATCTATTTTTCTAGCTAATTAATATCTAACTATCTAAGCTATGGAGAGCTAGAACTAGCTAGGTGGTCAGATAGATAAGTAGACAGCTACCTATATAGTTAGTTAAATAGCCAGATAACTAGCTAGACAGTTAGCTTAGAGTTAGATATCTAGCTTGCCAAACATATAACAAGCTAGATAGCTAGCTAGCAAGCTCTACAGCTAACTACCTAGCTAAATAGCTATATAGCCATCCAGCTAGCTTGATGCTTTATCCTGAGGACGTTTTGAGTGAATATCCAATATCCCACAAAAACAACAACAAAACGGTGAAACATACATATTATTATGCAACAATAAAACATTAAAATGCTTCTTTCAACATCTCCTTATAACTACATGCGGTGGGCACCGGAAACTAAAAAGCTCTGCTAATGCTAAGCCACTATGTCAGCATGGTGTTTAGCAGAAGCTAATACTAAAGCGCTAACGTCAACCATGTTGTTACCCACCAGGGGTCAATGACAGCATGTGCTACAACTAGCACATAAATCTGAATTAACGTTTCATCTTGAATATCTTTGCTGATGTTCTTCAAGTCGAGGAATGACCAAACATTTGCTGCTCCAGATCAGAAAGGTTTCCTCAATGTTTCACCATCTTGTCTAAAACCCTTTTCATTATCTTCAAACCCAAAGTGAGACATCAGCCACTGTTTTAAACTTTAGCTGTGTTCTTTGGATTGCTGCATCTGTTCAATGCTCAGCCCTTGGTTGAAGTTCAACAGTAAAATTGCTTTGTCTTCATTTCCATTTGAACATCTCAGACGGAGCGACCTCATTTGTATTTCGAACAGAACCAACCACGTCTCCATTTCCCCTCAGCAAACCAATCGGTTCCGCCGTCCGAGCCTCAACCATGTGGATAATCAGCCCTCAGCCAATCAGCTTCAATCTGCGGCACAAGCCGACGCCTTATTGGACGAGGAAAACGGTTGTTTCTGTGTTCAGAATACGAGGTTTCTGCAGCGTACGAGATTTATTCGGATATGGAGAAAGTACTGGCATGATGTAACGTCACATTTATCCATGTTGGTCTGGGATTGTTGAAAAGAAGAGATGAGTCACTGCCAGAATAAACAAACGTTGTAGGAGAATATCTGGACTGTTTGTGTGTTTTTCTGTCCTTGGAAGAGGCCAGTGTCACAGTTTCTGCATATTTTCTTAAATGGAAGTAACCTCTCCGCCTTTTAATACAAAATATGATGTGAACACTTTTTTCCGCCTCCTGCTTCAGACAAAGCCTCAAAAGAAACAAAAAAGACACGAAGAGGCGATGCAGCTGGCACCGGCAGCGTGTCGGAGCGTAGAGGCTGTGAATGCCGGTGCATGGGAGTAATCTTCAGGGTTCAACAGTTGGAAGGAGGCTGGAACAAACAATAGCCTCCAGCCGTTTCATTTGCATTTTGGCTCCCTGACTTTTATCCCCGATGGCCAAGATTTACTGAAACTCAGATTTCTGACAAAGTGGGATGCTTAAATTCAGCGAGGATTTTTCCTGTCGTCTTCATGTTTGTTGCCTGGGTACCTGCAGCCTGGACTGATTGCAAATTGTTTTCTGGATGCTAAAAAGAAAAAAGCCATTGAATGCATGTATTTAAGCCTCTGAAAATGAATCACGCAGGTCAAGTCCTGGCTCCTTTTCTCCCAGAGATCATCGCTATTGGCAACCAGTCTGTGAACCGAAGAAGGTTTTCTTGTCAAAGAGAAAACAAGGAGACGTTGTAAGAGGAACATCTTATGTAAATCACCTTTAGGATTTTTGTGTTTTAATAGTTGAGTTTGGTGAGAAAATAAACATTTAAATTGCAGTAACACATCACTCCTTTAGTGAACGTTTAATCATTGGTAGCAAAGGATGCGTAAAAACTCCTCCAAAGCTCTCAGGCCTTCCTGCGTCTGGCTGATCTGTTGACTAATTTGTTCAATAATCGATTAATAATTGAGCAGCTGAAGGAGCTCAGTAAGAGACTTTTACAGAAAGTTATCTTTTTTAATCTTGGATGCAAAATGTTTGTTTGTGAAAATATTTTTATAATTTCTGCTCTGAGTGTTTTATTCTTTTAGCAACTGGACTTTTTTTTTACTTATGTGAACAATCGATTACTGAATTAGTTGATTTTTCAATTATTGATTAATCACGATTAATTTGATTGTTTCATTACTACTATTATTCTTCAGAAAGCTGTTTGACTTCACATGTAGCCTGTCACAATTAATCAATTAATTGGATGATAAATTTAAAAAATTAGCTCAGTAATTCTCATTTGCCTGATTTATTTTCTCTCAACCAAAACTGGATTATAAATCTTCATTCTGGTGTTTTTTTAACTACAGTTTTATTTGTTGTTTCCGTTGTTTTATTTATTTTGGATATTTTAAATGTTTGTTAGAATTTAGTTTATTGATTTTTGAATGTTTTCTTGCATTATTATGCCAGTAGCATTAAATTACTGAATATTATCGTTTATCGCGATAACTTCTGGGGGAATTGGTTATCGTGACAGACGGGATCTGAAATGATCCGTAACGTCGGTTATTTTAGCCCTCTGCTCTCCGTCCTCGAGTTAACTGGAAGACCACTTAGTTTGTAGAAGTTAGTGACTCTAAGCTGCTCTTCATGCGTTCATGAATAACCGGAACAAATGGGAACATCTGGACGCCAGTGAACAAACATCTCCCATTAGCTGCAGCTGTTCCTTTGTCTCCAGGCCTATAAAACCTCTTTACAACCTCCGTTCATAATACTTTCCACTCTTCTTCTACTGTTTGAATTGACTTCCTCTGTCTGTTTTAATGCTTCATGCCTCCACACACGAACACACACAGCCAGCAGGCTGCCAGGCTGTGATTAGAGAGGATGGATGGTGCAGGAAAAGAGGAGAAGATGCTCAGATCCTTTGAGCATCAAATAGCTGATAGGCGTTTCTGCTTCACAGGCCTTTATTCTGCAGCAGCTTTAAACATTAAACCGAGTTGTTTTTATTTCTTTGTTCCAGACGGACAGGAAGTAAAACAGGTGTGTCAGGATGATTGGTGCGTCTGTCTCTGTTCTTTAATTTTTTATGTCTTTCTGGAGGTGAGAAAACACTTCTTTACTTCCTTCTCCTCCTCTCTAACAACCTTTAGCTTTCAAGTTAGACAGCAGCAGGAAGTAAAAACGTGTTTAAATCCAGACTCAGAGTTTAAGGTTCAAATAAGGCATCAGGAGCGAAATAAAGAAGCTTCTGTTTTATCTGTAACTGTAGTAGAGAGTTCGTGAGGGAAATGCTTTTCCTTCTGTCTGTTCTCTTAAATGTTCAAAGAAAAAACAACATTTTGAATAAAATGTGTAAATAAATTGCGAGAGAGATGTTATTTCCATCAGAAATGGGATTCATCATAATAAAACCTAAACCTGGAATGATTCATTAGGATTTTATCAGCACAAAATACATTTACATCCAGATTTATCAAGCAGAGTCCATCTTTATTTTAATTTAATCTCTTTATAATTGTAATAGTTCTGCAGAGGCATCAGACGTCCCAAAGGTTTTTTGCGGAAATTAACACAAAAATAAACCAGCATTTTTTCACACTAATCTTACTCAAAATTATTCACTTTGGGTTTAAGTGACGCCAACTTCCACCTGCAGGTGGCAGTGTTTCTCACCAGCGATGACTGCAGGGAGAACCCATCAGCTGCTTCAGCTCTGCTGAACTTTAACTGGACCAGCTGCACCTCTAACAAACCGAACTTCCCCGTTTAAAACAGCTTCATGGTTTCTCTCTGGAGACGACGCACTCGACCGTCTTTCTGTGTTAAATTCAGAAAGATGTTTCCCTGGAAACTTTCTCCTGGATCAGAACATCCACCGGGCGCCAGGTTCTGGTTCTGCTCAACGTTTCTTCCTATTAAAACCAAGTTGTTCCTCTCCACTGTCGCCATGTGCTTGTTCAGTGTCTGTATGATCGGATTAATTAGAGCCGTTTCAGTGATAAACGATAATATTGTTGTTTTGAAATCATCTTCCAGTCATATAATGCTAATAATGCAACTTTAAATTCTAATGAACACTTAAGACATTTTAAATATCCCAAATAATAATAATAAAACCTACATGAACAGTAAATGAAATGGATTGTGGAGCCTCTGAACAAAACTGTCCTCAAAGGTTTAGTTGAGACCAAAGAACCAAACTGAAGATCAGCTTCTGGTAGGAAGAGAGAAACGATAAATTATTGAGCTCATTTTAATTAATCGTGTGATTAATTGATATTTTGTGACAGGCTGAGATGTACTGTGTGTTCACACCGTCTGTAGAGGAGCCGACAGTCAAATTCCCACAATCAGAAACTAACTGATGAGTCGGACAACAAGCCCCATTTCTTCTTGCAACTGATTGATTTTTGTGCAAACGTCCATTTTGAGACCTCCACAGACTGAAGTACCAAATAAGTCCAAACAAACAGCAACACTTCAGGAGTCGTGGGTCAAACTCAGTGGATCATGTTGCATGATGAGAACATGCCCGTTTTCTGGA